TACAAGATGTCAAGAAAATAAATAATTCCCTTACTTTTACCTAACCTCCCCCCCCCCCAAAAAAAAAAAATAATTTACTGGAGGAAGTGCATCAGTGTTTATCAAACTTCCTGCATTTAATGAAAAAAAAGCACAAATTCTTTGCTGAATGATATTTAATCATAGTACTCACCGATCTTGTTCAGAAGGTAGATACATGGAATATAGACACGGTTGCCCTCTATTACGTCAATTAGATCATCAGCCGTTGCATCATACTTCAGCACAATGTCAGCATTGTGAATGCGATACTCTGCCAAAATTGTCTGTGAGGGGGCAATGCTTATTTTAAATTTAAATAATAAAATTTAAGATAAAATTTTATATTCGGGAAAAGGTAAGAAGGCAACAAATAATAAATAAAAAATTAACCCTGCATAAAAAAAAAAAATTGATTAATAACATGAATAAAAACAAATTTTTCTTAAAAGGATTTGTCTTAAAAAACTTTTTAAAAAACCCGGGAGTAAATTAAGAAAAAACTTGCAATGCAAGGAGTCCTTTTTTAATTTTTGATTTAAATAAGAAAATTTTTTTTTTGTTAATTTTTTAAAACAGATTGACTTTTTTCCCCCCAAAAGGCAGGTGCCCCCAAAAAAAAAAGGGAAACACTTTGAGCATCACCACTCCATCACTGTTTTGTCAGAGGTATCCCAGATACTACATTTAAAAAAAAACACACTTTTTCCACACCTCATTCAGAGTGCAGGCACTGCATACCTAAATATTCATGTCAAAAAATTTGCAGTAAAAAACACACAAAAACAACCCCTTTCCAATTCAGTTTTTTTGGGAAACGACACATGGAGGTTACCCCCACCTTTTTCCTTTCTTGGGAACGAAATTTTGGGGGTGGCTCCTTAAAAGGGAAATCAGAAAAAGCCCAATCAGTTGTTTAACTATAACTAATATAACAAAAACATAAGATATATATTGTATTTTTATTAAAAAAAAAGAAACCATTGTAAAAAAAATTTTTTTTTTTTTTTTTTTTTTCCCCTTTTTTTATCACCAAAACCGGGCCCATTCCCACCAAGGCAGGGGGGCCCGGAAAAAAAAAAAAAAAACTTTCCCCCACTTTTACTCCCCTCACTGTTTGCCAGAAGGGTGGGTTTCACTACAGTTTTTTTAAAATGCAACATTTAAAACCCCCCCTTCAGGGGTTTCAGGACTGTTTCCCCTCTCCAGGATTTAAATCCGGGCCCGCCCGGGTTTTCCCCGAATCCCTTTCATAAAGTTACTTTGCCACACTCCAACAGCACGTCAAGTATTAAAAAACCCTTTGTCTCCATTCACTCCATCAAACACGCTCAAACAGCCTGCTGGAAGCCCCAAAACCCCCCGCCCCACAAAACCTCCTTTAAACCCCCCCTCCAAAAAACCCCTTTCCCAGGCCGAACCCCCACCCCGCCCTTTTTTCCAATTTCAACTTTATACACTCTTGAAAAATCATTCTGTTTTTGCTCCCAAAACTCTCTTTCAAAGTTTCCCAACCCCCTCAACAAACCCTTTTTCAGCCCTTGGAAAAAACAGTTTTTGGGAATCCCGCACCCCTCCAACTTTCCAAAAATCGGAAATTTTTCTGCATTAAAATTCACACCACACATTGCCCTCAGACATGCAACTCCACTGCCTCCCCTCTCCCCGCTGCAACATTCCCTCACCCCCCCTTCACACCCATATAAGAGCTTTGGTAAAAAAAAATACTTCCCTAACCCCCTTTTTTGCCTCCAAGGGCAAAGTTTTTTTTGTCTCCAAGGGCTTTCCCAAATGCACCAAATCACTCCCTTTTTTCCCATCAATTCCCATGATTCACCTCATCTTTTATAGACCCCCTCCCGCTGACACGTCCCCTCCCCAAAAATCTGAAACGTTCACCCCTCCTTCCTCTTCCCCCCTCCAATCTGGGTATTCAATCTTTCATCACCTAAACTTTTTGTTTTCCTATAAAACCCTTTCTCTTTCCTTTTTTTACCTTTTTAATTTTTTTCTTTTTCCCCACCCTAACCCAAAAACATTTCCCCCAAATTTTTTTCCCCGGGAACTTTTCTTTAGGGGGTTTTTCCCAAAAGCACAGTGGGCAAAAAAGCAAAGAGCACTGTGACAACTCCCCCTTGTTGTGTTTTTTTATCTTTTAACTCACGCCTTTTTGCCCAAAACCCCCCCGCATTTACTTTCCCCTTACAAACCCCTATAAATATTTAAAAAAACCCCGGTTTACATTTACACACCCTTGTCAAAGGCCAAATTTTACGGGGAAAAAAATTTTCCCCCTTTTTCCTCATACTCTAACTTGAGCCTCACTATCCTCGTAAAAACTCTTCACTGTTTCAAAACCCTACCTCCAACACCATACACTTGAAACATCGCCACTTTCCCCCCCTATCCACCCTGTCATACGCCTTTTCCAAATCCATAAAGCCCAAAACCTCTTTACCCTTATCTAAATAGTTCACTTATTTTCACTGTAAACCCCTGGCCCACACCCCCCCTCCTTTCCTAAACCTCCTTTTTCATCTGCTACCTATTCTCCGCTTACTTTTAATTCTTCAATTTAACTCCCCAAACCTTTTACCAGGTACACCAACAGACTTATCCCCCATAATTTTTTGCCCCTCTTTTACCCCCTTTGCTTTATAAAAAGGGAAACTATGCTGCTCTCTGCCAATCCCAGTACCTTACCCCCTTTCCCTACATTTATAAAAAAATTGCACCAACCCTCCAAAACTAATCCCCCCCGCTTTTAACATTTCATCTTTATCCATCAATCCCGGGTCCTTACCCCCTTTTTTTTCCACGCCTCCGAACTTCCCCCACACTCACAACGGGTCTTTCCCCCTCCCACAAGATGTTTTTTCCTCCTTGCCCTTACACAAAACACAGCTTCCCTACTTCACAAATTTAACAATTCCTCAAAATATTCCTTTCCCTCTTCCAATACCCCTAAACCCCCATTTAATAACTCTCCCTCCATTTTTAAATGAAAAATCCATTTGTTCCTAGGCTTTTTAACTTGTTAATCTCACTCCAAAAATTTTTCTTATTTTTCAACAAAATTTGTTTAAAAATTCACCCCCTCTCCATTTGCTCTCTTTTTTTTCATTTCTTTACCACCTCTTAACCTTCTCTTTTCCCATAACTCTTCCCTCCTGCATACTTCTCTTTGTAAAAAATTTATATCTAACTTTTTTCCCTACTACTCTTTTACTTCATTCCACCCAAACGCCTCTTCCTCCTGCACCCCTTTCCTGTAACCACAAAAATTTCTGAACACTCAACACTACATTTTTAACCACCCATAAACCCCTCTTTGACCCCTTGCCTATGCTCTCATTAGCCCATCTATCCTCCAATAGCTGTTTATATCTTACCCTAACTGCCTCCTTTTTTAGTTTATAAACCTTCACCTCTCTCTTCCCGGGATGCTTCTATTCTCCTTGTATCCCATCTACCTTTTACTCTCAGTGTAGCTACAACTAGAAAGTGATCTGATATATCTGTGGCCCCTCTAAACATGTACATCCTGAAGTCTACTCAACAGTCTTTTATCTACCAATACATAATCCAACAAACTACTGTTTATTTCGCCCCACATCATATCGTGTATACTTATTTAAACCTCTTTTCTTAAAATATGTATTACCTATAAATAAACCCCTTTCTATACAAATTCAATCAAAAAGGGGTCCCATTATCATTTTTCACCTGGCACCCCAAACTTACCTACCACACCCTCTCTAAAAGTTTCTCCTACTTTTGCATTCAAGTCCCCACCACAATTACTCCTCACTTGGTTCAAAGGCTCCTATACATTCACTTAACATCTCCCAAAATCTCTCTCTCTCCTCTGCATTCCTCTCTTCTCCAGGTGCATACACGCCCTTTTTATGACCCACTTTTCGCATCCAACCTTTTCTTTAATCCACAAAAATTCTTGAATTTACACATTTTATATTCTCTTTTCCCCCTTCCATAATGATCATTTAACATTACTGCTACCCCTTCCTTTGCTCTAACTCTCTCAGATACTCCAGATTTAATCCCATTTTTTTCCCCCCCCCTGAAACTCTCCTACCCCCTTCAGCTTTGTTTCGCTTAGGGCCAGGACATCCAACTTCTTTCATTCATAACATCAGCAATCATCTGTTTCTTGTCATCCGCACTACATCCACGCACATTTAAGCAACCCAGTTTTATAAAGTTTCTTTTTCTCTTTTTAGTAATTGTATACAGGAGAAGGGGTTACTAGCCCCTTGCTCCCGGCATTTTAGTCGCCTCATACGACACGCATGGCTTACGGAGGAAAGTTTCTTTTCCCCTCCCCATGGACAATAAAAAGAAATAAAAAAGAAAAAGCATTTAAAAAAGGAGAAAAACCTAGATGTATGTATATATATTTGCAGTGCATGTCTGTGAGTGGGACCAAAAGTGTTAGTAGGTGCAAGATACCCTGTTACTTAGCGTGTTTTGAGACAGAAAAAGAAACCCAGCAATCCACCACAGAAAACAATTACGGTTTTTGTTTCACAGCATCTGGCAGGACGGTAGTACTTCCCGGGGTGGTTGCTGTCCCCAAACCCACTATAGGAGGTACTGATTGACCATTTATAAGTACGTTACCCCTGTAAAACATTTGAATGTTTTAAAAACCCTTTAAAGGTCCAAACAGATCGACGTTAAAATTTCTTATCATACAAAAGTAATCTATTTTTTTTTTTTTTACTATTTTCAAAATAACAAAAAAAATGTAGATAAAATTTTTTTTTAAAAGTTTTTAAATGTAAAACAAAAAAAAATCTACTTTTTTTTTCATACTTTCAGATGTTAAAAAAAGTATAATACGTTTGGACCATTTAAGGGTTAAAAGAATAACTTAGGTAAAATACATAAAATTTTAGAATCATTAGTTTAGAATCGCCAGAAAATACATTCATCTTCACATCAAATACGTACACAAGGAATTACAATAAACAAGAACAAAGGGATTTCACCTTATTCAGTCTGATGCCAAAGCCTTCTAATTCTTTCTCAATCAGCTTCTTCTGACCAAGGGGCTTTAACACATCTAGGACAATAAAGATGAGGGAGCAGGTGCGAGCCACAGCAATCACTTGTTTACCTCGTCCCTTGCCATCCTTGGCTCCCTCAATAATACCAGGAAGATCAAGCAACTGAAAGTATAATAAAATCAGAAATATTCAGAAATACCAGACATCAAACAGGAAAAAGAGGATGAATGGAAACACTGTTTTGTCAGACTTAAAAAGCATGGAATCAGCTTTTCTTTAACAAACAGAGAATACAAAACAGCATTCAAACTTTCAAGCTACTAAACCAAGACTTACATACTCGGACAACAAATATATCAACCTTAGGTTAAGAGCATTTTTGATTCAGAAAACACAAACATATTGACCTATTATTTCCCAAGAAGAGATGCAATCAATCTTTTAAGATACAGTTCAACAAACACTTTGCAAATATCTGATTAAATGGATTCACTTAAGAGAGATTGACTTGATTGTAATTCATCATAAATTTTCAGAGTTCACTAGCAGGATCTTCTTTACCATTGGTTAACAAAGACAATTAGCATAAATTGTAAGTATACTAGTGGTTTGTGTTTGGAGAAATTACTATCATACAGGAGACATACGTCAAGGCCAACCATGTCAAGAGCACAATGATGAAGAATGATGAAGAAGCTATAGCACATGTCACTGCAAGTAGTTTCACTAAAATGTTGAAGTACAGTAGTTATAGCATGTGTAGCATTATAGGACTGAACTTATGAACTCCAGCAAGGAAGCTAAAAGTGTCCTGACCCAACTATGATGGTGGGACAGTGGTGGTATCTGGCAGTAGTACAGTTGTAGTCTAAGTCTACATTCAACATCCTCCTTTCCCTCCAAATCTCCATACAAATTTCTTTAATATGACAAGATAATTAATCTTAACTCTTTCTTAAGGGCTGTTGGATTTCTCCAACAGAACCAACATGGATCTGAAATAGAATCAAAGAGTCATAGCATATTCAAATTTCTTGGCAGAAGCCCTTCAAGACCCTCCAAGAACTTCTGTTATCAGTAATGTCAGTACAGTATTGGCACCTGTGTACCAATTTGTGTACATGTGGTACGTGTAACTGTTGGCCTGGCTGAATCCATTAACCCTTTTGATGGCTTTCCTCTAGTACTACGGCTTTGAGCTCAGGGTCCGTCTTGTACAACTAGTACATAATGAGCTCAGGTCACTGAAAAAAGCTGCAAGCAGTAAATTTTGGCCTAGATGTGAGAGAATGAGTGTGTGGCAAGTATGCACCATAAAAAAGAAATCCTACCCCATGCAGTGCATAATGGGAAAAACAAAACTGTGACCGTGTGTATGACTGAAAACCACGAATATGTAGTGCATTTCTGGATGGTTTTTATGGTTTTATTTTCAGTTTCTTAGTATCACTTGATAGAATGGAGGACATATTGCAAAAATAGAGATAATTTTGATTGGAATTGGATTCAGGAATATAAGTAGCTTGAAACTGAGCTCAAAGTGTGGAAATATTTGAATTTCATCAATATTCTAGAGGACGGGTAAAACCTCCCCTTACAACCCCCAGTCTGTTTAATCAGTTTTTACTAGGTCAGATTCAATTATTGGCATACTATAAACCATGAAAAGTCTTTCCTGGTTAAATATTATTATCCTAGAAATAGAGTAAATCTTCTCTTTTTTATGTGAATAAGACTTCAAATGTAATATAGTGTAATATAGTAATATAGTAAGTGTAATATAGGAGAGGGCTGGGATCGTAAACAATGGATATGTTGTTTTAGTGCTAGGAATATCCACACTGTTTATTATGGACCATTTTTAAACTGGCATTTTTTGAATTGTGTGAGATTGGCCAAATTACCAATTTCTGATAATGTTATTGGCTAGCTGAAATAACCAAACGAGTAGTGTCTTATGCTCAATTGATAGAATGGAAGGCCTATTAGCAAAATAACTAAAAATTTGGTAAACTAGAACAATGGAATTGGCCAAAAATAGGTCTCAAAGTGGGCAAAAATCGCCGGTGCATAAACTGTGCTGAGACTGCTTTGTGCCAGCGTAATTCCATAAGTTTTCCATCAAATTTCATACTTTTGGTGTCATTGCTTTCTGAAAAAATCGCTACCATTTCACAAGAAAAAATAATTTTGTGGAGAAGGGGTGGGTGGATTTTTTTTTGACATTGAGAACAAACTTCAGATTGGGGGTCTGGACCCTGAAAGGGTGAGAGTTATCTAACGCTAGAGTTTGATAAGGCTCCAATAACTGACTTTTGCTGAGTGATGACTGGTTTGGAATGATTTACTATTGCTAATTACAATGCACAGACACCACATGAAAGATAAGTAGAGTCAAGTATGTAATACAGGAAGTACAGTGGAACCTCAAAAATCGAACGTATCACATATCGAACGTTTCGAAAATAGGACCATTTTCTCGGACAAACTGTGTCCCTATTATCAAACGCGCCCCTATTTTCAGACCGCTGGGTACGGGACATGTCCGCAGGCCTGCTATGTCCGCGTCCCCGCACAGGCACCGTGAGCAGTCTAGCTTTGTTTATGCTTGAGTGAACACTAACCTGCGCTCTCATTCACACATTTTACGATTACAGTGGACCCCCGCATAACGATGGCATCACATAGCGATTATTTCGCATACCGCTTACTTTAATCGCAAAATTTTTGCCGCGCATACCGATTAAAAACCCGCTCACCGATTTTCGTCCGAGACGCGTCCAATGTGCGCCCTCAGCCAGCCTCACATGTGCCGCCCGTGCCATTGTTTACCAGCCAGCCTCCGCGCTAACATCCAAGCATACACTCGGAATATTTCGTATTATTACAGTGTTTTCGGTGCTGTTTCTGGAAAATAAGTGACCATGGGCCCCAAGAAAGCTTCTAGTGCAACGTACACCAATAAGGGTAAGAATACCCATTGAAATAAAGAAAGAGATCATTGATAAGTATGAAAGTGGAGTGCGTATCGCCGACCTAGTCAAGTTGTACAAGAAACCCCAATCAACCATCGCTACTATTGTGGGCACCAAAAAGACAATCAAGGAAGCTGTTCTTGCCAAAGGTTTAACTGTGTTTTCGAAACAAAGATCGCAAGTGATGGAAGATGTTGAGAGACTCTTATTGGTGTGGATAAATGAAAAACAGCTAGCAGGAGATAGCGTCTCTCAAGCGATCATATGTGAAAAGCTAGGAAGTTGCATGACGATTTAATTAAAAAAATGCCTGCAACTAGTGATGATGTGAGTGAATTTAAGGCCAGCAAAGGTTGGTTTGAGAGATTTAAGAAGCGTAGTGGCATCCATAGTGTGATAAGGCATGGTGAGGCTGCCAGTTCGGACCACAAAGCGGCTGAAAATAATGTGCAGGAATTCAAGGGAGTACATAGAAACTGAAGGACTGAAACCTGAACAAGTGTTTAATTGTGATGAAACAGACCTGTTCTGGAAGAAAATGCCAAGCAGGACCTACATTACTCAGGAGGAAAAGGCACTCCCAGGACATAAGCCTATGAAAGACAGGCTTACTCTTCTCATGTGTGCCAATGCTACTGGTGATTGCAAAGTGAAGCCTTTATTAGTGTATCACTCTGAAACTCCCAGAGCGTTCAGGCAAAAGAATGTCCTCAAGGATAATTTGTGTGTGCTGTGGAGGGCAAACAGTAAGGCATGGGTCACTAGGGAATTTTTCTTAACTGGTTACACCATGCATTTGCCCCAATGTGAAAGATTACCTAACTGAAAAGAAATTAGAACTTAAGTGCCTCCTGGTGTTAGACAATGCCCCTGGTCATCCTACAGACGTGGCAGAGCGACTTTATGGGGACATGAGCTTCATTAAGGTGAAGTTTTTGCCTCCTAATACCATCCTCTCCTGCAGCCCATGGACCAGCAGGTTATTTCCAACTTCAAGAAACTGTACACAAAAGCTCTGTTTGAAAGGTGCTTTGTAATGACCTCAGAAACTCAACTGACTCTAAGAGAGTTTTGGAGAGATCACTTTAATATCCTCAATTGTGTAAACCTTATAGGTAGGCTTGGGAGGAAGTGACTAAGAGGACCTTGAACTCTGCTTGGAAGAAAACTGTGGCCAGAATGTGTAGACAAAAGGGATTTTGAAGGGTTTGAGGCTAACCCTGAGAGGATTATGCCAGTTGAGGAATCCATTGTGGCATTGGGAAAGTCCTTGGGGTTGGAGGTTAGTGGGGAGGATGTGGAAGAGTTGGTGGAGGAGGACAATGAAGAACTAACCACTGATGAGCTGATAGATCAACTTCAAGAGCAAGAGGCCAGACCTGGGGAAACTGGTTCAGAGGAGGGGGAGAGAGAAATTGAAGAAGTTGCCTACTACAAAGATAAAGGAAATCTGTGCAAAGTGGCTTGAAGTGCAAACCTTCATGGATGAAAATCACCCTCACACAGCTATTGCAAGCCGTGTTGGCAACCTGTACACTGACAATTTTGTGAAACACTTTAGGGAAGTGATAAAGGAACGAGAGGTACAGGCCACTATGGACAGATATCTTGTGCGAAAGAAGTCCAGTGACTCTGAAGCTGGCCCTAGTGGCATTAAAAGAAGAAGGGAAGTAACCCCAGAAAGGACTTACTACCTCAAGTCCTAATGGAAGGGGATTCCCTTCTAAACAGTAAGAAGATAATGCTCTCCCCTCCTCCCATCCCATCAATCATCACCAGATCTTCAATAAAAGTAAGTGTCATGTAAGTGTGCATGCCTTTTTCAGTTTGTGTGTATTAAAATTAATATTTCATGTGGTAAAAAAAATTTTTTTTTCATACTTTTGGGTGTCTTGCACGGATTAATTTTATTTCCATTATTTCTTATGGGGAAAATTCATTCACATAACGATTATTTCGCATAACAATTACCCCTCTTGCACGGATTAAAATCGTTAACCGGGGGTCCACTGTATTTCGTTGTGTTTAGTGCTTGTGGGACTGTGAAATAAGCTGCCATGGGCCCAAAGAAACTTGCTAGTGGTACCCCTATGGTAAAGAAAGTGAGAAACACCATAGATGTGAAGAAGGAAATACAGTGGACCCCCGCATAACGATGGCATCACATAGCGATTATTTCGCATACCG